ATATATATATATATATATATACATACATATATGTACATATACATATATATATATATGTATATATACTATATGTATATATACTTATTTTTTATTGATTTTTTTTTATGTATTTACCAATATTGTTAATATATATTTTGTTGCGTAACCATATTTCCAAGATAAAGACAAATTGGTAGATTTAATTTCAATGTATTAACGATATTGACGATATTGCGACAGGATGTTACAAGTTACTTGTCTTACAAAACCTATGTATATTCCATTGAATTTATCTATTGATTTTATTTTTCTTTTTTAACTTATCATTCAACTAATTTTATTTGCAAATATTGAAAATTGTGGATTTCTCTACATTAACTGAAAATCTTCGTAAATCTTTCCTACCTTTCGATTACTAATTTTTAAAAATAACAGAATGTATGTAATATTAAAATTCTTTTTTAGGAGTTTATAAATATACTGCAGAATTATGTGGAAAAAAATTTGCCACATTATTAATCAGATAATATAGGAATATACTTTATAATTATGTAAAATCTTGTACGCTTGTGAATGGATGAATCATCAAAAATAATATAATATCACAACCCAACTATATGTGTAATCTATTTTCTGAAAAAAACCAATCTTCTATATTAGACTATTCTATTATTTTACATATATTAAATATATTCTGTCTTTTAATCTTTTCATTTATCATAATCATTGCTTTAAAATTTCAGATAAAATTTCGATATTTTTAATATATTTTATGATTTATTTTGTCAATTATTGTTGTCTATTTCGCATGAGCGTTATGCAAATAAAGTAAAAAATAGAACATCTTTTCAGGAAAAGTTTATTATAAAATATACCTTAGTTAAGTACATATTTAACACTACATACGTGAACAATCTCTGTAACAACTACAGACGCGATTAAAGAATTGCTAATGTAAAGAGAATTGTGAACAACTCTACAAGTGTACCCTGCAAACGGAGAAAGGCTTTTCAGGGCGGTCTGCACATGGGAGTTTTATATTAAAAGTTACAATTAAAAATTACCAAAGCGATGTTACCTGCATACAAAGGAACAACGCTGGACGTTATATTTGAGCGCTGCAGTATTTATATTTCCACAGCTACAGGAATTTCAGGACGAAGCACATTCTACGCTATAACGCTGGATATCAAGAAAATAAGAATTATATTTGCATGTTATAGCGTTTAAAGTGCTATCGTTGTATTCCCGTAAGTCTTAACGTTTACATCACAACCACGAACATAAAATTACAAGAGTCAAACAGAATCGCATCGATCGAAAGCGATACGACTAAATTAAAACGTATATTGATTGTTTATCAGTCCATTAACAAATTATACAGATAGTTTCGTCGATAATAAATGTAATGACTATATAGGACTCAATCTTGACTGTATTCTACATGATTACAGGGGCTGGTATTATTAAAGAGAAGACCCAAAAATTAATCCTTCGCAATCGAAACTCGAAAATCAATTTGTAGGAGAAGCACATAAGACAATTTAAAATACTTGGAAGGATTGACAAAGGGGAGAAGAAGAAAAATGTTTTCCAAGATAAAATGTTTATGCGCCTCACCCTGTATAGCCGATGTTTACTATAATCTCCATCAATGTACTTCATTCAACAGTTTATAATTTCGATCAAAATGGCCCCGAAATGTCAGTCTTTCCGTTCAAATTTTGTTAATTTCATTACAAGTAATTGAGCATGTGACTGCTGTCCAACATGACGTATCGAAAACTTATTGCTTATTCTACATTCTGCTAAAATACAATTTACATACAGCAATCGAGAAAGCGTTTTGTTCAATTATAACACATTATAAATATTACACATATAATTATTAGAATAATATATTGTTCAATTCCGATAAACTACAGCATAAATATTTTGATAACGCGCTAAGAAGCATAATATGAAACTTGCATAACAGGAGACTATATTTCTACCATTAATCTAAAAACTCTAAGTATAAGTTAAATTGAACAAAACGCTCCGTATTATTCGATGATTAATAATTGTCATTTTCATAGAAACACATAGTACCGTACGCCTTATGTTAATTGTTCTATGATAGTCCGTACATATAAACATATAATTATCATTAAATGTTAGAAATTCGTTAAACTTGTCGTTAACAAGAAATAAATTTTAAAACTGACCTAGGGCATTTGATTATCGAATCATGAATGGCTAGTATTAATTATATTTTCTCTGTCATTCACATTTCATCTTATTGAAATGTATCTTCTACTTGAACATTCACACGCGTCAGCTTTGTTGATATAAAAAGAAAGGCAACAAATTGCATAGTCAACAAATAAATAGGAACCAGCCTATATGGTATATTTAAGGTACTAATGGACAAAAGTATGTATGACAGTAACGTAATATTCGAAATGCATAAGGAAACATTAACTGAGAGGATATTTATTTCACTTTTGTCCATTTCAACTAACAATGAATTGCAAGATAGTGCCTTTGCTCAAAAGTTAAGGCGAAAGTTAATAATCGCTACACCATCATTCTTCTCTTCTTACCATATGCTATTTTCACCACGTTCGCAGTTTCCATCACGAGGGTATCCAGTATGGTAACCGTGAGTCCATTTTTCACCGCCAGCTCGTCATGATGAAACTTCGTCCACTCATCCTCTTCGGCCTGGGCTTCTCTCGCCAGCAACTCGTCAACCCTGTCTCTGCGTTTTCTGCTCCAACGCATCACCATATTCTCTCGCTGCAGCTTCGTTTTGAAGCCGAAGAGTGTGGCAACTTCTTTATTAACGTATTCGATGAGTTCCTCGACGTTCTTCGGAATCTTCATCATGGGTTTCGTCTTCACGTTCGGCTTCGTCCAACTCGGGCCGGGTTTCTCGTATTCCGCTCGATAGACTTCCACGATTGTCTCCTTACAAAGATCGAAGAGGAAAGTGTTGTAGATCCGCCTGTCTCGTTTTACGCTCTCGCTCTTATCTTTGGTCAACTCGTAAATCTCGGGAGGAGCCTCTAAATTCGCGATGTCCTCGCCGGCCAGTTTGGCGTTGTATATTAGGGCTGTAGCTTTCTCGGTGAATGATGTCAGCTCCTCAACATTCGATGGGATCACAGCGGTGACCGGCGTGGGTGAACCGAGTGAAGTCGACAATCGGCCATCTTCCGGTGGGATGTAAGGAGGCGGTGGTTTATTCGGTATTTCTCGAACGTAGTAAGACACTTCTTCCGCTTCCAACTTTTTGATCTTAAAAACAAATATCTTCTATGTACATGCGCATTCATACGCGATTATACGCAGTGATTTAGCTGTACAAAAAATACATACCTTCAACTCGATCTCTAGCTGTTCGATCCGAAGCATTTTGGCTTGCCTGTCATGACCAGGTTGCAGGAGGGAAGCTGTACGAAGTAAGCGTGAAATATATATATATATATATCGATAAATACAACAGGCAGGCAAAGAGGCAAGTTCCTCGGGAAAAGCAACACGAGCTTTCACATTACATCGGGGATTCACAATTTATATAATTAAATTAAGTGCTCTAAAAAAAGGAGGGAGAAGGACGAATCAAAAAATTGAAAAATATATGAGAGAGAAAAATTGTTTCTAATGCACATATACATATATAAAACAGTATAAAGTTATAATACTGTTTTATGTATAATATACACATATATATATATATATATATATATATATATATAAAATAATATATAAAGCTGTGAGACAAGGATAATTGGACATTCTATGTAACATCTGTACACGATGATAAATTCTGAGAGATTCTCGAAGGGGAAAAAAAAGATAGATGGTAATTGATGAATAATTGTGTGTGATGCATAATATTTACAGGCCTTTTTTTGTGCGCATACGGATCAATAATGAAAGTATCAAGCATTTCATGCGACACTGATTTGTACAGAGATAACAAGTCAATGTTCGTATCATTCGTAGTTTCGTGTATTACCTTTAGACAAATATAATCTCGACTTTGCTATTTGTCTGAAAATAAACAACACATGGCTATACCAGGCAACGCTTTGCACAGGAGAGCACACAGCCATTATAAAAAAACCAAAGATGTTTCTGTAGTATGTAATGTGTATATAGAAATCGAAATGTGTGTAAGTATGTATCGAGTGTATTCTGAGAATGATCAGCCCACATAAAATTGCATCGCATGATTTCGATTGAGAATGGTAACAATAATTTGTAAAAAGAGAAAGAAGAAAAAAAAATCCATTATCTCTCAACATATACATAGATTGGCTTTGAAATATGTTATTCGATGTTTGTAATTCAATCGCTCGAATAGCATTTTTCAAAAATTATCGTTTCGCGATATGTCACGATTAGACAGATTATCCTGCACATCAGATATCTATTCGATGGCACTATCGATTGGGTCATAATGTGTATAATTTTTATATAACATACATATTTCAAATTTTAAAAATATGTACAATCGGATGGATTATATAGGATTGATTCTCTGATTCATACGTTAGATATGAAACTCGAATCAGTATATATGGTAGAATTGACGATATTAACGGCTCTGTATATTGTCTATTCTCTACATTTCTAATTTCGTTTATATTTATATGCATGTATATGTATGTATATTTATATATGCATACGTATACACTTATTTGATTATTGCAATAGGAGAGCAAGAATACCTCTTAATTCGTCGATCATAGTTTCGATGTCCTTGTCAGACGCCGTGACGATGGACGCAGAGTGGAAATTAGTATCCATATCGATGTTCCGGTTCGTCGCCTTGGAGCCACTCAACAAATCATCATCTAGGATATCAATGTCCAATCTCGAGTCATTAAAATCTCTCGGCGAGTCCATCTCGATCTCGGATACACCCCTTGGAGTATCGCTGGCCTCGCTGGATTCGGACGAGCCATTTTGCTCCTGCAGCTGCGAGACTCTCTCGCGCAGCTCGTGTATTATTTGAGAAGACTTATCGTCCGCGTCATGCTCATCTAATCTCAAAGGAATCACGCTTTTCTTCTTGGACAAATCGTCCGCATCGCTGACCTCTGTCGACCGACTTCGCCTATCTTGCAATTTTACTCCTTCCTGGAATCGATCCCTTGTTTCCTCCTCCACTTCATACGATTTTTCCTCGAGTTTGTTCGTCGCTATTCTATTTCTCTCGAGGGACGATTCTCTATTGTCAATTGCAGAGATTTCTACACCCAGATTACTGATCTCTTCCGTTGCACTCGGCACGCTCTGGACACTTCTCTGATTATTTTGCGAATTGTTCGAATCCGACGATGATTTCTGCGATATTTCGTCCAATATTCTTAATACGTCCTCTGATTTCTGGGTAGTCCGATAGCTATCCGGTAGATTGGCAGATTTCTTCGCGGGTGTCCTCGGGAGATCATTTTTGTCTAAAATTTCGGACACCTCGAGACTCTCCTCGGATATGTCCTCGTATTCGGGATCCTTTAATATCTCGAATGTTTTGTTAACATTTTCAATTATTGGTGCATCCGACATCACGACTTCGTCATACTTCTCGATTTTATCCGTCGTCTCTTCTTCAGCCTCTTGTCCAGTCTGCGTAGATACTGCGTCGTTTATCACCGATTTAGGAGAATCGCGCAGTGCAACGGGTTTTTCTACAGTGTCCAATCCACTCATAGCGACTTCCACCAGATTGTCCAGTTGCTCGCCTTCCGAGCTATCATGTTCGGAAATTGATTCTAAACATTCCTTTATCTCTATAGACGTAATGCCTTGGCTACGTTTGGTAGCGTATTTATTTTTGTCCTCGTCTACATTGCACGTGGCGAATTCTTCCTCTTCAGCCAATTCGACTTTAGCATCAATTTCAAGTTCCGATAATACGTTATCCTCGGCACTACTCGAATCCAGCTCCGTTATTATAATTTCTTGTACTTCTGATACCATTTCACATGGACTCTCCTCATTATCGATTTCCACTCGTAAATTTACATCTATAGTAGTTTTATTATCGTCAACTGCTCGTAACAAAGTATCCACTATTTCTTCATGATTACTAGATTTATTATTTTCGCAAATATTCGCAGGAATTTTATTACTTTCATTTATATCTCCAACATTTGTTTCGCTTGACGCTTTGTTATTTAATATCAAATCATCTGCTGTAGTTCGATTATCTAGACTGATGTCCATATCACATAAGAGTCCTTTGAAACGACTATCTACGCTTTCCTCATCATTTTCCACTATATCTTTAACTCTATCTAATAATTCAATCATAGAATCTGACATTACATTATTGAGTTTTTCATCTTCATTATTAGGAATGCTCTTTTCTTTATTGTTTTCTCTAGCTATTATATCCAATATATCATCGAGCTCGTCATTACTCTTCGTCATTTGGGATTGTGTTAATGTGATGTTAAACGTGACGTCTTGTACATTGATAGATTTCTCTTTTGGAAAAAGGCCAGATGCGTCAGCGTCGCTTATTAAATGTTCATTTTCAGCTTCTTTATTCGCTATGTCATCGACGTGTGATACATTCTTTTCTGAGAACTTATTCATAGCATCCGTATGACTCCGTATTGAATCCGTATGACTCAAGTCCGATCTTGAATTCGCAAATTCTTCACGTACTCCAGTACTAATCTCATCTTGCGGAACTTCGAACGATTCAGACGTCGTCCAGTCATTCTTATCTTGAGAAATATTACTGATGATACGCGACTGGTTTTGATCGACATTAGACGCAAGTGTCATTGAATTTGTCACAGTATTGTCGAGCGCCTCCGTGTGAATATCCTCATCGAGGTTCTTTGATATGAGGATCTTCGCATCATCAACGTCACTTCTGGCTTCCACCTCGGAAATCTTTTTCGACGACTTGTAATTTTCGCCGGCAAGAATATGCGAGCTTGAAACTATGCTAGGCACGCTTCGTGAGTCATCTTGTGATATCGTTTTGTAATTTTCCTTTGAACGATGACCGGCGATGATGGGAGAATGCACTAACTCGGTGCCAAAGTGTTCAGAAAATTTCAGTAAATGCGCTTCTTCCACTGGACTTTTTACAAGATCCTTTTCAAGTTTTGTTTCACTTAAATCACTTTGTTCATTTATATCATTCTTCGAATTATCGATTTGTTTTGCTGTATTCTTGGCAAGATCAAGACTCTTTCTGCTTTCTGATACTTTAGAAAGTATCTCGGAAATCGATTTTATACTGAGCTCGGAAACGAAATCATTTAATAATTCTTCATTTCCATTTTCTAATACTAAAGCTGGGTCACCACTCTTAGTGTGTTTTGACAGAATAGATTTCTCGATTTCATTCATAATTTCTTTGCTTTTGGCTTCGTAGTCAATTTCGCGAGGCGATTTAGAAATGATAGGAGCTTTTTCTGGAATTATTGTCGATATTTCATTAATTTTGTCTGATAAATATTTATCATGACTTAAATCATTAGAAGATATCAATTTTCTATTATTTATCGACATAGAAAGTGGTGATTCATCTATTTCCGTTTCGGCCGACGCTGTTTGCTTTCTCTCGTTTTCAATATCAGTTGTTTTGTTACTAAAAATCGATTTAGATATTATTTCTGATATATCTTGCGACGTATTCCTTTCATCATTATCTACTTTCGACTTCTCATTTGTTTCGTTGCTTAAACGTGACATTATTTCCGAAAGCGCTTTAATATCTTTTTCGATAGAACTTATATCCTCGCTCAAATTCTTATTATTTAACTGTAGAAAATCTAACTTTCTCGAGTAAGTAAGTATACTAGAATCAGCGGCTGTAACACGTGCAGCGTTTTCCGTGGAGTACTCAGATTTGCTCGGAATAGATTTGGAATTTTCGGTGTTTTCTACTTCTTGAATCTCAGATAGTATTGTAAGAGTCTTCGGCTGAGATTGACTAGTAATTAATTTATCATTCGCCGATTCGGTGTTGATAGTACTGTGATCTTCAAATCGTGTATCCGATATCGTTTGCACCTCTAATTCCGATTGCATATTAGGATCGGTTTTAGCATCTTCCGCATCGTGCGATACGCCATTCTGTTTCATTTTGACGTTCGTAGTAGATTCTTCGATTTGTCTTTTCATAGAAAGATCATATTTTCCAACATGTGCATCATTTGAAGTCGATGATTCTGAAAGCGCTGTTCGAATTTTATTGTGTGCTTCCGTCGATGCATAATCGCCAAAAATAATCCGAGTGCTATCGTTGAGATCCGTAGTACCTTTTAATTCTAAAGCGCTTGCGCTTTTAACCGTGGACTTTGTAGACTTTTGAGAGTTATATTTCTCATGTTTATAACCATACACCACAGGCGTTATGATCTTCGATAAATCCTTTTGCTGATTTCTCGTTGACAGAAGATCAGATTCCGATCTGGATCTCAATAAGTCGCTACTCTTGTAAATGTCCTGTATTCTCTTAAGTGGTATTTCAGGTACTTTGAAGTCAGCCAATGACTTTGGCTCTATCGCTAACTTATCCGTTTCTTTAATAGCTTTCTTCGATTCCAGTTTTTTGCGCATTTCGTGAATAGTCGTATCATACTTCTGTAAAGTATAAATAAGAATCTCATAGAATATAATAATCAAACAATTATTCATTATATACTTACTTTGATTTGATTCAGCAGATTTGCTTCCAAAGCACGCAATTGCTTCTTCGCTTGTTTCTTTGCTTCTCTTTTTAGACGCGCCATTTCGAGACGTCGCTCCGCTAATTTTTCAGTGAGAAGGCCTATCCTTCCTTCGACATCGCTCGTATCGGAAGACACAGTAGTATCTATAAAAGAGCGTAGATCTCTCTCTGATCGTGATCAGAGTTTGAAATTATGCAAAAAGCTATGTTATTAATAAAATAATAATTTGTCATGATTATTGTAATATCCGCAAAACCCGAAACTAAAAAATCATTTTTTTCATATTTAAATTATAGCTACAACTCAAGCTTCATTAAAAAATTAGTGTACAATCCAAAATGCTTAAAAAAATTAATTTATATATATATATATATATATATATATATATATATATTATAAATTATAAATTTATATATATATATATATATAATAAAAAGTATATTTATATTACCTCCTCCTTGTTGATCAAAACATTAGATGCTGCAACGAGTTTAAATGCTGTCTGCTCCATGCGACTGACACGGTCCTCTTCCGCTCTTAACCTTGCGTGCCACGCCATCCACTCCTCGACGCAGTTCTTGCGGGATGCAAGTGCAACTTCGCGTGCATTCAAAATTCTAAAGAGAACAGGAGAAATCATACAGCTCCAAGAATATGCTGCCTGTGCATGCCTGTTACGCGGATTGCTTCTGCAGAGAATCTATTTTTACAATGCTTTACTTGATGTGGCATGGAGATGCATGGTTTATTATTAGATCTCCTGACAAGACTTTAGTGACTCAAGATTTTATTAACGGGACACACGCGTATCGCGTTGAATAACGTTTCCGAAAATTTGCGGTATTAAAATAAGAAAAGAAGAAATATAGATACAAAAATAGATAAATACATATGTGTACTTACTGTTCGAAATCTTTATCTTGTGATCTAAGAACTATAGACCTCGAGAAATTCTTTTCGCTTTCGCCAGAACTGTGATGGGAAACGGCAAAAGTACTAATTTGAGACGTAGATACATTTTGAGTATCTTGTTCGTTCCTCGCAAGATTCCTTTCACCATTTTCATATTTTTTGTTTGAAACTTGAATGGACCCGTTCTCCTTACTCTCATTTGTTACTTCGCTCGATAATTTCGCACTTTTATCTTTGATGGTCTTCGAATGCTTAACAAGTGCCTGAAGCGAAGTTTGACTTTCGTTATCCAATTCGCCCAAAATTGAACTTTCTTTGTCGTTATCTAACTGAAACAAATCGGTTTCCACTTTTGTCCGTTTATCATGATGCTTAATAAGCTCCTCTGATATATGAGAGTTTGATTTAGATCGCGATATATTTTCTGTTAATATACTAGAAGACGATTTTGTTTTCTGATACTTGGAACTTTTACGCTTGGAGCTTGTCTTTAATTCGGCATTATGTTGCAATTTCTTAGATATGTCTTTATCATTCGTAATGGACTTATCAACCTTTCTAGAGCTCTTACTTGTATTCGTAAATATTTCAGAGATTTGTGACTGCGTCGTCTTTGAAACAGTATCTTGAACTATCGTATTTATTTCTTCCTCTATAGATTCACTATTAGCGGTTACTACGTTAGAAGTTAAGTCTTTTTCTTTTGCAATCGTCGCGGTTTGTATAGAGGGGTCTGTTATTTGTGATGTTCTCGATCTTTTAGATAACTCTTCCACTAACGTATCAGATTCAGATTTTACATAGTCAGATGCTAGTGTATCTGCTATTGGTTTCGACGACTGCGGCACTTTTATTTGATCTTGATTTTCCAAAAGCCGAATATTTATTTTCATAGGATGGCCTTGTATCCGTTTCGATTCCATATCCAATTGATTCTGTTTCTGCCGCAGAATATCCGCTCTGGGCATTTTTTCTTCGTACTTTGGAGATCTCAGCTTATATTTTGACATATCGCTTTTCTTTTGTATCTGCACAGGACTTTCCTCCTGTTCTTTACTCTCATCGAATTTTGTTGCAGATGTGTTACTCTCCTCAGCTAAACTTATAAATGCGTTGGACTTGAGCAAATCAAGCTTGGATATGTCGTTCTCGGATGCATGCAGACCTGGATCTATTTGAGACCGATCATGGTGAGATTTATCTGAATCAATTAGTGAGCTCATAGAACTATTACTGCGTATATCATAGCCTTTCATAGGGCCTGATAATCTTCTCGGTGATTGACTATCAGCGCTTCTCTTTAATTTCGTTAAAATACTCTTCGTCGACATTTGCAAATTAAACATATCTTTTTGTTTTTGTAACATACGCTTCCGTTCTTGACTCGTAATTTCGTACAATAATTTTAATCTGTCAATAAATAAAATAATTTATTACGGAATATTCAAAAATACAAGTATAAAATCACGTAATATCACTTACGCATGTATTTCGTCCTTCTCTTGTTGCAGTTTTAAAAGCAGAGCTCTTTGTTTTTTCTTAACAGAACGACTGTCTTGTCCGGTATCTTTCAACACACGTTTTTGTTCTTCTAACTCCACCAATTTTTTGGTTTTGTCATTTAACGTTTTTTCCCGATTCTTAAATAACTCTTCAATTCTAAATCTACGCTGATTCTCATCTTGTAAAAGTCGTGACAGCTAAAAAAAAATGTAAAAAAATATCCAATTAATATATATACAATCATAAAAATGCTAACATAAATATATTATAAATAAAATATAGCTACCTCTGAACCTATATACTGATTAAATGAACACGTTATATCTCTAGTGGAAATACTAATTTCAGTTCCAGTCTCTGTTTTTATCGATGAAGTGGTTTCGTGTAAACTAATTTCTGACATGGTTCTTATTCTGCTGGGTAAAGATAACTCTTCTACTTGGTCCAAATCTTTGAATTGCTCGGCCGAATTTAAGGTCATATACTGGGGAACTTGGGTTTCCCTCACGAATGGTTCATATGCGTTTTCACAAATTTCTGATAATCTATTTTCCGCGTGTCGTTCGTCTGCTGATATATCCGTTTGGGTCGCTATATCATTCACCGTTTGAGTTTGTACCTCCGCCACTTTAATCATAGCTTTATTAAACTTCCCATAATTAAATCCATAACCAGATTCATCGACTTTGCCTTTCGAAATGTAATGTTCTCTATTGAAATGCGCTTCATCACTTGATTTTCGAGCTTCAGTGATGTCCTTTTTTTTATAGTCAACCGAATTCCATGTTGCTGTAAAAAATATTTCAAATATTTCAAATAACATATCTAACATACATAATTTCACGAATAATAAATTTCTTACATTTCTCAACAGTATCGTTATCAATTGCAGCAGCGGCACAATTTTCTTCAGTTTGCACTTTTTCCAATTCTTCATTTTTCTCAGCAATTTTCTGTGGATTTTTTTGTTCTTTCATCTCGCACTTGCTGTTGTACAAACACTTTTCAACGTCCATAACTTGTCTGAGAGACTCGTTATAAGAATCATAAAGATGTAGTTCTGCCTGAAATTGCATATGTAAAGCTGTTGGATGTATCTGAAATTTCAATGTACTTTTACTTTATTAAAAACATATTATATGACTAATAAAAATGTATGATACATGTTTGTACACACCAATTGTACCTCCTCATCTTTCTCAGATTGTATCATCGGTTTATACTTTGGACATTTCGTTTCTACTTCCGAATCGCTGCTTTGCATCAAGTACCTCCTTCGTTTAGATTTAAGCATAAGAAGATTCATCTTTTCTGGCGTTAACAAATTTTGAAATTCTGTTGGAGAATAACCATCCCTGAGAGAGATTCTTCTAGAATCAAATAATGCCTCTGGCAGTGTATTGATATCCACATCATTTGAATCATCATTAGTAATCGTTTCTTTAGTAGTAATAACGCTTTGAGAACATGATTCTTCATCTTTTTTAATGCTTGCAGATTGCGTCATGGAATGTTCTGCATATTTGAAATTCTCTGAAGTTTTAGTTGATCTAGTTGAATTAATACTTTGTTTACTCTCCGTAGGTGTTTCGAGATCTTTACTCTTTGATGATTGCGTAGAATTTACAAAATAAGCACTTATACGATTTTTGGAATTATTTGCTTCAGACATAAATCCATCATTTTCTGATAGTTCTGAATTAACGCTGTGGATTTTATCTTCACTCTTGTTCAACATTTTACTTTTGTCTGATGTTCTCTTCATTTGATCTTTGTAAATGGTGCTTAACTTATCTTGTTTCAATAATTTATTATCTGAATCAGATTTATGTTTCAAGTCTTCTCTCTCTACTTCAGGATTTAACTTAAGAAAATAATGGTTTATGTCTTTAAATTTGTTCTCAGTGCTAGATAAAACACTCGTATTATAATCTCTTAACGTAGCTTTATCTAATTCTTTCCAAGATGGAAAAACTCGCGACTCATTGGATGTTTGAATCTTGGATTCTAGAAGATTGTCTCTTGTTAATTCTGCAGACTGCGTATTAAAGGATCTCTGTCTTTTGTCATCTTTTTTTGCAGTGGACGCTACAAAATTTTTATCTTTCGATTTTGATGAAAAGTCATTACTTTTCGTAGCATGGAATGGTCTATCACTCTTTGGTAATGGTAATCTAATATCGCTAACATCTTTTTTGGAGACATGTCTTGGACTTCGACTGCGTTTTACTTGATCCTTCACAGATTCATCCCTCTTTACAAATAAGGAATCATCCTTTTTCATCCTTTTAGATCTATTTTCCTTTTCTCTGGAACTGTCTCTAACATGTTCTTTCTTTTTGCTTAAATTAGATGCTATCGAAACATTTGGTGCTTTTAATGGTTCTATACTTTCACAATTAATGAATGATTCATCCATGGAAAAATCTAATTTTCTTTGCACTCTTTCACCAGTTCTTAAACTCTTATCAGATCTGTCATGCGCAAATTCTTTTGCAGCTATTTCAGATTTCATGGAAGACAGTTCCTTCGAATTAGAATTTTCTCTGCTGGAGAAATCCAAAGTTTTTGGGGAGATTTTAAGATCTGGTACTTTTAATGGTTTAATGAAGTCCATATTTTCTACAATTTGATTTTGTGTATTCAAATTTTGTATACTATTTGTTTTTAATATTGAAGAAATAAAACTATTCTTTGCTTGAGAACTTGAATCATGTATTTTGCCAATATCACTATGATCATCTAAAGCAAGCTTTTGTTTCACAGCACTGATAAATGTAAAGGGATATGGCTGTACAGGATGATAAGATAACACATTTTCTAAACTATTTGGACCAATTGCAAGAGTCTGTAAATCAGCTGATTGTTCTTTAAAAAGTTGCTGTTGTACCTTGAATTCTTGATTAATCTGTGCTGCCTGCAATAAAAAAATTATATAAAATTTCATACATATTTAAATATAGATCATGTAAATCAATAAAAAAAAATAAACTACTAAAAAAAAAACAACTCACAACAGCGGAAGTCTCGGCGCGTTTTGCGATAACATCTGGATCTGAGAAGAAAACATATCTTTTTTTATCAACAGATTCCTCTTTTTGGCTACTACTCTTCATATTCTCATTTCTGAACTATATAGATAACATCCCATAAAATTCACATTGTCATCCATATTCCTCGTAAATGCATGTATGATTATAATGGAATGCAGTACAGCATCTGAATAATACAAGAATTGCAATTTAATGTCAATGAAAATATATCTCTTAACAATGCAAAAAATATATCTTTACATTTAATGAAATAATCCTATCGTTTATAACAACGTTGTTTATCCGCAAGACTTGTAATCAAAATTGAGAATCCGCGAATCGATTATTTTACAACGTTGCTCCGTCCTTACTTATTTACGTTTCTTTAGTGCTTGTACAAACTTGAAACATCTAAGTACAATGACCAGAGAAAATGACCATGAAAAGAAATGAACTTAATTAAGGCATCGTAGAAACGATTCTCTCCCTCAATCCAGTGTAATTTCTTCAGTGACGAGCGCAATCGCGCAGGAGAAACGTGACATCTCCACGGAAAACGGTAATTGCATACATATTACCATACGCACACACATACACAATACATATATATCATGTACATGCCAATCATGTACGCACATTGATTTGCGGCGCCGTATTCGAAAGATTTACAGCCCAAGACGGTACAATTCGTGACAATATCTCGAGGCCAGACCTTACTACGAGACGTCCCGTAGAGGCGTCGTGCGACGTTCTCTTCTTCTTCTACACAATGTGTGTAAATTCCACGTACACGTCGCGTGTGAGTGCGTGCGCGCGCGCGCGGTACGCACGCTCTCAGCAGTTTGTCACAACGACCGTTTGTAAACCGCGATCACGTGACACATCGGAACTTGCGGCAAGTCGTCGCCCGTTCGCTCATCTACATGTCCTTTCACATGTCCAACATTACAATACGATTGGTCAATTTTTCCGTCGAGATCTCGAATAAATTTCTAGCATCATGAACATAAAGTCTTGTTCACGAAGCTAGAAATTGGTCCGAGATCTTGGATGGAAAGAGAACTAATCAATCTGATTCTGACCAATCGGAAAATTTTATGTTTAATTGACCAATCAGCGTTATCAGTTATCTCTCTCTTCAGATCTTTTGACGGTTCACGATCTTCAGATGGTCCACGGGAAAATTTCTAATAGCAGAAAGAAGCCTGAGGATTGGTTTATAGAGGCCGTAATCTGTTAACCATACACCGTAACTGTAAAAAATTGACCAATCACAATCGAATTATAAAAGAATAATCGACTATTCGTCAATTTTATAAGCATAAATTAACAGATTATGGCCTCTATAAACCAACCCTAAGATTTCGGCTGATGTGAATGGACATGACCAATCGCAACAATAACCAGTGAAATCTCACGTTAGATTGGTACATTTTTTAAATCTAAAATTGTGATCCAATTAAATACAAGAAATCACTAACTACGATTGTTACTAAACCGGTTTAACGTTGCCGTATAAACGCAGTAATAGACACTTCTCTATAGTGTTGTCGCATTTTGTGTGTAGAGGTCCTTAGTGGATACGACCGACGTCACAGACATCAATTCGTATACAGACCGTTTAAATTCGAAAAGGTAACGGCATGTGCTTTCTGTGGCGTCGCTTCTTGATGTGAATTACGCATTTTCTTTCGTGCAATAGATTGATACTTTGAAGGAATTGAGGTATGTATGTAATGATGCATAATTTGAAGTGATATCGTTTTTAAACTGACGATGTTATTCCTTTCCGAAAGAAATAAACGTAAAGGAACGATGGACGATCAACCAGAATGGAAGCCCGTCATGCAAGGATTTGACGTGGAACAAGAAGAAGCATTAGAAAAACTGCGGAAGAACTGGGAAGAGATCGGCTGCACCAAAGATATGCGAATGATATATTATAAACAGGCTCGTACTCACATGAGTGATTTGCTGAACGAAATGGTGACAGAGGCAGAATCAAAGATGCAATTATTGGTGGAAAACATAAAAGATCTGTTGAAGCAAACATCGACGCTGCGTACGGAACTGCATTTAGACGTGATGCCCAAAAATTATGATCAAATTCCCTTATATGAGGTTGAGCAAATACTTCAGACAGATCTGCAGAATCTGGAATGTATGAAGAAGGAACGCATGATGATTTTGGAGGAGTTGTTGGCAAAAGAACATAACATTTGTAAGAAGTTGGGCTGCAAGATGCTGAACGTTGCCATTGACGTCTTGCCTACTGAGCAGGAACTTGAAAGTTTTAAGCTTTATTTACAAAAACAGGAGAATGAGAAGATACGCCTCGAGAATGTTTTTATGGATATACGTCGTTCCATAATAAAGATGATGGATGACTTGGATAGATCACCATCTTCACAATTCGAACAATTAATCTGCAATAATCCCGAGGAATTTGTTCTAAATGCAAGCAATCTGACAAAATTGAGAGAATTCAGAGATGAGCTGAATATGCAAATGGAAGATATAAAGTGCTGTGTTGAAAAAATGAAAGAAGATTTATTGGCACTGTGGAAATATCTTGATGAACCTGCAGACATCTGTCAGTCATTCCTTGAGAGATATCCTGGTTATACCACTAGTGCTGTAAATGCTCTCAGTGCAGAAATAAAACGTTGTAAGGAAAAAAGGAAAGAGAACATTTGTAAATATGTCACACAAATCAGGTCCGAATTGCGGAAATTGTGGGACTTATGCAAATACAGCGAAGTAGAGAGAAATACATTTGCACCATTTTATTCCGACACATTCACCGAGGACTTATTGACGTTGCATGAATTAGAAATGGAAAGGTTGCGCAAATTTTATAACGATAATCGAACAATATTTGATCTTTTGGATCAACGCGAAAATCTCATAATGAAAATAAAGGAATTACTTCAACGTGCAAATAATCCTGATCGTTATCACAATCGCGGAGGTCAATTATTGATGGAAGAGAAAGAGCGAAAAGTGATACAAAAGAAGTTGCCTAAAATAGAAACAGAATTAAAGCAATTGATCAATGAATACGAGACTAAGCATAATCAAGTATTTACCATTTATGGTATATCATTGGAAAATGTTTTGACAGAGACTTGGGAAAGTATCACTATTGAGAAAGAAACGTTGAAAAGAGCTAGGAAAGAGGCAAAAGATAAATCGATTAAGAAATCACCTTTAAATAGTTCTAAACGAACACCTGGCATGTCTCATCTGAGCATTCACAGAGGTCCAACATTGGGACTATCAAAACGCAAATTGTTCAGTCCATCTCCCAATTCTTCGATAAAACGTAGAAATAAAAATGGTGATAAACATAAACCCACTGTTATCACCGGGACTAAGATCAGAAGAAGTGGAAGATTTTTGAAAACCAGCGTTCAAAAAACAAATAGATCTCCGAAAGGAAAACAGAGAGGAAAGGGGTCGTTATCACCTAGCATCACAGACACGACATACAATCAGTTCCAGGGCCACATGACAGGCAGAGAAGAATTGCACAGCTCAATGCTGCCGGAACAGATATTGAGGAGCACCAACAAGATCAATATCAACAAAACACCGATACGAACACCCATAAAACCACTGCGGAAACATCTTTCGGCAGCGACAACACCTGTCACTCACAACTCCGCGCGCAAACTGCCACATAGTCCTAGAGTCATTAACACTCCAAAATTAGCAACGGCCCCGAGTAATTTACCTTTTATTTTTTAAACAAAAATATAATCAATTATTAAATAAACTTTCTCGCTTACGAGAACGATATGGAAAAAATTTGAATGATACGAAAAAGAATCCTTTCTTCAATCGTGCTAAAGATTTGTGTAACAAATCTCAAATTTTATCATATGTAATATACAGTACAAACGAGATATATGTTATTGCTTTGGTGAAGTCAGAATACATAAATCTATCATATTACTTCTTATATCGTCGAACGCACAGTCGTGATTAGTTCAAACTAATTAACTTAAGTTGATAGAAATAATAATTAGTTGTTAGATAAGAGAGCACACATTATTTAAAATATCTTATTGAACAGGAGTGAGTATAGCTCGATGCAATTTTTATATACGCAGCTAGTATATTAAGTATATTAAGATTAAATGTTTATTAATATTGCACATATCTGATTTACTGATAAGTTAATGTAAAAATATTGGAAATTTCGAAATTCTAAGTGAAGTAATGCGTATGTATTCCGAGCGAAGCGGATTTCGAAAGGCTTATACTTTAATTGCTCTTTTAATGTACGTACAAAACAATTTTTAATATTATTTCCAAATATAAATAATTTTTTTACAAATTGAAAACATTTTCTCGTTATAAAAGTTTTTTTCTATCTTAATTCTATTGCTCGTGGTGATTCTCTCTCTCTCTCTCTCTCTCTCTCTCTGTCTGCTTTCATATCTGTGGCGCGCACGTAATTGTACACAGGTATGTGGGACCCAGGAATGCCAGACCATATACGTTGCAGCCACGCTGCAGCACGTGGAGGGGATAGGCTGGCACGCATCTAGCGTGAGCGCTCGTCCGTACACTGCGCGGATGGGACCTACAGTTTAATATCGATTCCGAACAGCAAATTTTTAACAGAGAGATGCTCTTTAATAGAGAGATTTACTCTCGGTGATTTGCCATTATCTTCCGAGAAGAGACGAACATAAATATTTTGGCTCTGCTAAGAATCAAACCCGGAACCTCTCTAGCATAGTAGACTAATGTTAAACCACGCTCGCACAAAATAAATAAAGTTTAATGACTTAAAATTTTTATGTATTGTTTAACGCAATTTATAATAATAAAATAGATAATAATTAAATACATTAAAAGATTCAGATATTAAAAGATTCAAATACATATATTAAAATTTTTTTACTCTTGTGACGCTTTGTTAAGATAATAAAATATATCTTCTCAAATCTTACAACTCATTTTTGACTACGTAACTTACGTTCGGTTACGTTTGGAAACACCACTCGTGTATCGTTTTATCCTTGTTTAACATTCGATGAACAACAAGGATAAAATACGATACATGGAGTCATTCGGATGATGTTTCCGAACGTACCCTTATTTGACGCTGAGAGTTTCGAGCATCAACATGAAAAGGTGCCTTAATACGAAAAATAGTCCACTGCTATGGACTTAAGATGCGTTTTTTGGATCAGGTTAGTTTGTGTTAATTCGCGACATTGTATGGTTGTTTCTCGAACATCGTTCCTTTTGAAATGGAAATGTATGAGTGAGTTGGTTATTTCATTATCTCTACAGAAAAAGGAACATCGTTGACGTTTGAGAATAGAATCGAAAATGGGTGATATAAAATCCTTCTTTCACCAGTGGTGTGCGAAAAACGGAAAGGAACCGCAATTCGATGTTAGACCGACAGGTAAATATGTCCGTTGTCCGTGTTGTGTTTAATTTTTTTTTTACGAAAGACAAATTGACGAGTTTTCACATTTCGCAGGACCGAAACACAGGCAACGTTTCCTCTGCGAATTGCGTGTACCTGGCTTCGATTATGTTGGTGCGGGAAATTCTACCAACAAGAAAGATGCCCAAGGAAACGCCGCGAAAGATTATGTCAACTATCTAGTACGTACAAATCGTGTGAATCCGAACGACGTGCCGCAAGATTTGACGACACAGCCAGCGATTGCACCGGATAGCATCAAGACAGAAATCACAACACCGACAAGATCGGTATTCCAAGGAGGCATGGGACCGAATGATATTGGTCAGGCCTATAGACCTTACAATGAACGTGGCCAAAGTAATTATACATACATGGATAGGCTGGCTGATCAAAAGAAAGTGGAAGATGCAGAAGACGTTGATGTAAATTCAGGGATACATGGGAACTGGACAATAGAAAACGCCAAGTCTAAACTCCATCAGTTCATGCAAACTAACAAAATTAATGCTGATTACAAATATACCTCGGTCGGTCCGGATCATACGAGGTATGAAGTCTTGCAATGGACCTTTTTCTAGCACATTGGATTGACATTGCAATGCAGTATAGCTCAATTTGTATCTTTTCATTTCAAGCAATCGCTTGCCATTTGTACTATTTGAGATTTAACAGGACCATCTTGGAGTACATTGTCTACTCTGAACTTGAAGAGGCTCAAGAAAGTAGCCATCAACTTTCTTGGGCAGAAACAATGACGTTCAACCAAAACTTTTATTAAAATGATTTAATAATAGTTTTGGTGCGATTATACAAAGAAATTTTTTCTCAATGTATTCCAATGTGGTCGTCTGTGACATCTTCAAATAGTAAGTCATTATTATTTATTATAATTAATTAAGGGAATAAGTGGAAGAAAAAAATTTATCTTTAAAATAGATATTTCTTATGCAAGAAATAAACTAATTAATTATTTTATATACTTTGGCAAATTTTATAAAAAATCTACTAACAATAAAATGTATATTGACTTTTCGTGATGCTAATAAAAATAAAAATTATTTTTTTGGTTTGTGTTACTAATAATTGTTTTCAATTTAGTTGTAAATATCTTAAGTATTTTTTTAAACTTTTCTTGTTTAAAGTATATTGTCAATTCTTTCACATTTCTTCCCTTAATTATTATATTGACAATATGTAACATGGTTCACAATATCTATAATAGAAATTATTTTTCATATTTTTCAGGAGTTTTATGGCAGAAATGACTCTTTATATTAAGCAACTTGGACGAAGTATGTTTTTATTTAAATATACTTAATTATATGTAGTGATAACATAATAATTTCTTAATATTTTAACTTATTTCAGGCATAACTGGCCGCGAAACTGGATCGAACAAACAAACGGCTTCAAAAAGTTGTGCTTTATCTATCGTTCGCCAACTGTATCATTTAGGTGTTATTGAAGCATTTAGTGGTACATTAAAAAAAATAAGGATGCTGAACAAATGAAGCCTTATCCTGTTAAAATTTCACCAGAATTGGAAAATCAGATTCTCGATGTTTTAACGAGTTTGGAAATAAAACCAGTTGATATTAATCAGGTATGAATTATTAATAATGTCCTTTTTATATGTATGTATAAATGAGTAAATTGATGTATACATCAAAATATCTAATTGGATTTATTTATTTAAAATAAAATGTTTATTTAAAATATAGTTGCCCTCTGTACCAAAAGGAGAAAATGACACTTCAACTACTGGTGTATCTTTATTGACGAATCAAGTTTTGGATGATTTTATATCTTCAGTGCCGCAACCCGCCGGTGTTGTAAGCTGGTCACCACCTCAACCAAATTGGAATCCATGGGCAGGATGTAACATAGATGAGGGACCACTGGCGACAATATCTTTGGATCAATTGTCGGAAGATTTAATGAATGAACAGCGTGAAAAGTTGCAACAAGATTCCAGTTTACAGGCAAGCATGAAGGAAAGATCAACTTTGCCTGTTTTCACCAAAAAAATGAGATTATGAACGCGGTTAATGAAAATCCAATCATTATTATACGTGGAAACACGGGATGCGGTAAGACTACACAAGTTTGTCAGTTTATTCTGGATGATTATATCGCGTCCGGCCAAGGTGCGTATTGCAGCATAGTTGTGACTCAACCCAGAAGAATCTCAGCTGTATCTGTAGCTGACCGAGTCGCCATCGAAAGATGTGAAACTCTAGGCCAATCAATCGGATATTCTGTGAGATTTGAATCCTGCTTACCAAGACCATATGCTAGTATAATGTTTTGTACTGTGGGAGTACTCTTGAGGAAACTAGAGGGCGGTCTCAGAGGTGTGTCACACGTTATCGTCGATGAGATTCACGAGCGAGACGTCAATTCGGATTTTATTATGGTGGTACTTCGAGACATGATCCATCTCTATCCTGATCTTAGAATTATTCTCATGTCAGCTACAATTGATACAACGCTGTTCAGCGAGTACTTCAATAATTGCCCTGTAGTAGAAATTCCCGGCAGATCCTTTCCCGTTCAGCAATATTTCTTAGAGGACTGTATAGAACTGACGAATTTTGTTCCACCCACAATATCTGGGAAACGTAAATCTAAGGATTCAGATGAGTTGCCCATAACAGACGGCGAACCAGAAGAAAATCTGAATAAAGTCATCAGTAATAATTATTCTGTGCAAACAAAGAACTCTATGGCACAATTGACAGAGAAAGAGATAAGTTTTGAGTTGATAGAGGCGCTACTCATGTATATTAAACAACAGGAGATCCCAGGTGCTGTATTGATTTTTCTCCCTGGCTGGAACTTGATATTTGCGTTGATGAAACATCTTCAGCAACATTCTGTTTTTGGCAAATCGTCTTATCTTATTATTCCACTACATTCGCAATTACCAAGGGAAGATCAACGCAAAGTCTTTGATCCCGTTCCACCTTATGTAACGAAGATTATCTTGTCTACGAATATCGCAGAAACTTCAATCACGATCAACGATGTCGTCTACGTTATAGATTCTTGCAAGGCCAAGATGAAATTATTTACCTCGCATAATAATATGACCAATTACGCAACTGTTTGGGCTAGTAAAACGAATTTGGAACAACGCAAGGGTAGAGCGGGTCGCGTTCGTCCCGGTTTTTGTTTTCATCTATGTTCAAAAGCCCGATTTAACAAGATGGAAGAACATATGACACCGGAAATGTTTAGAACACCTTTACATGAATTGGCACTGAGCATCAAATTGTTAAGATTAGGTAATATTGGACAGTTCTTATCAAAGGCAATCGAACCACCTCCCATCGATGCTGTAATTGAAGCAGAAGTTGTATTAAGAGGTAAATACATTTTCATCTTTTTTACAATATATTAATTTGCAAAATTTGCTTTTTATATCTGTATATGTTATATAGAAATGAAATGTTTGGACAAAAACGATGAATTGACGCCTCTTGGCAAGATCCTTGCGCGTTTACCCATAGAACCACGGCTAGGAAAAATGATGATCCTGGGATGTATGTTTCGCGTGGGTGATGCGCTCTCGACAATGGCCGCAAACAGTACCACCTTTCCCGAGGTGTATAACATGGGTCCAGACATGAGAAGACTGACGAATCAGCAAAAATGGTTTGCTGGTGCGAGATACAGTGATCATGTTGCGATGTTCCACGCTTTTCAAATGTGGGAAGAAGCAAGAGCCAACGGCGAATGGGCGGAACAGTCATTTTGTGAATCAAAAAGTCTAAGTTTGCCAACTTTACGAATAACCTCAGAAGCTAAGGTTAGTGGAATTGTTAGTGGAACGATGCCGCTTTCATATATCTTACACTCGCATTGGTGACTTCCATTATTTTGTATATGTCAGAATCAACTGCAAGCATTGCTGCAAAGTGCCGGTTTTCCTGAAGAGACTTTATGTCCAGTCCCATTGAATTATCAAGCTGGTGCTGATCCGCGTCTTGATACTATCACCGCGTTATTATGCATGGGCCTGTATCCTAATGTTTGCTATCATAAGGAAAAACGAAAGGTTCTTACCACAGAATCAAAAGCTGCACTGATTCACAAGACGTCTGTGAACTGCAGCAACTTTGAGCAAAACTTTCCGTTTCCATTCTTCGTCTTTGGTGAGAAGGTAAGTTCTGTCTGTAGATATTTGTCTCTTTCACAAATTCTAATTTTTTTCCGTCTTATTAGATTCGCACTAGAGCTGTATCTTGCAAGCAAATGACTATGGTGTCGCCTATACATTTATTGCTGTTCGGCTCGCGGAAAGTGGAATATGTGGATAGTGTAATTCGATTGGATAACTGGATCAATTTGGATATGAATCCACAACATGCAGCGAATATAGTTGCTCTACGACCCGCTTTGGAGAGTCTCGTAATTCGAGCATCCAAAGATCCAGAAACAATCCTAGAGTTGAGTTCAATCGAAGAAAAGGTATAAATCAAAATCGAAATTGACAAAAAATATTGTGTATTTTTTTTTTAAATTCCAGATAATGTCTCTTATTATAGCTAAAATAATAACTCTCTCTTTTTCTCATCTCTATTTTTCTTCACTATTTGATGCACGATAACATTTTGATAGCGCTGAAAAATAACTCTATTTTTCTTTTTTCAGGTATTGAGTGTAATCAAAGCGTTATGTAGTATGAATGCTTGTCGTCATGAACTGGAGCAAGTATCCAATAGTGGTTTCCAATTGCGAACGAGAGGATATGCATCCAACTATCGTTTCAATTATACTCCTCCTCCAAAAATGATGCGTGGAAATGGTTATCGCGGTCCCTCTAACGAATCTTATGGAGGTAGTAGTTTTAGTGGTAATTACGGCGGTGGATACAGAGGAAATTACAACAACAGAGATTATGGAACGGGCAACTCGCGTGGTCGAAATGGAAATTGGAATAACGGTGGCGGATTCCGTGGACGTTATTAATTAATATCTTATTGTCTACACTATTATTATTTTTATGTTGTGAACTTGTGAGTTGTTTAGATTATATTTATAGATTATATTTTTTTGACACACCACACATACAACACACACACACACACACACACACACACGTACATATATATATATATATAATTATTATTAGTA